CTGTTAGATTATAATTGAGTTTATATGTATATTATGTGATAATACGTATAAGAGTGTATGTAAAAAAGTGTGTTTACAAGTTGTGACTTATTAGGGAAGAAAGGTAGTTATTTTTGTTTAGAAAGACAAAACTCTTCACTTGTCTCTTTTGGTTTTGTATATAAGTGTGTATATGGTCTTGATGTAAACTTGTCGAAAATAAGAGAAGGTTTTCCAAATTTTATTTTCTTCTATTATTCTCTTCCAACACATTTTTGCTTACAGAGTAACAAAACAAGTTGGTGTACAGAAAACAAAGGTAAAAGATGGAGAACTCTTGTTTAAATGAAAGAAAATAAAAGACAAATCAGCTAAAGAACAACTCTTTGGTAGTAGATTTATAGTTGTTTTATTTTAAAACTTGTTATATAGTCTAGAAATCATCCTTTTCGGTAACCAGAGGGCAAGCTAACGAGTTGACTGGCAATGAAAGAAACCGCAGACGCACCAATCACCATTGCGGTGTATTCAGCCACGGTCTTGAGTTTATCCATGTTGAAGGCGTAAGCTTTGGCAAAAGAGAGAGAGATAATGCAGAAGAGAGATGCGGCGAGAGCAACCACAGCTTTGTAGTGTTCCTTGTCGGTTATTTTGAAAGAGTGGCCGTAGAAGAGAGAAGGAATCACAGCAAAGAGGATGAGGGAAACCACAACAAGGACGCAGTGGAGTTTGTTGACCTTCCCTTTGTTTCCCACTATGCGATCATTGTTCGCACTTTCAGATCGTTGTTCAGACGTTATGGAAGCATGAGCCTCTTGATCTTCATCCTCAAATCCAGTATCGTTGCTCTTTTCCTTCGCCGGTCCTACGTATACAAAATATAACAAATTTGTTCGTTAACACTTTTCCTGATGCCTCCTATATATAGTTCAAAGGAAAAGATGATATTCTGATATATTCATAGTTGTCTTGCTTCTTCATCGACTCGACAATACTTGTCGATCTACCTGATTAACGTGCTCCATGAGATATCCACTATTCTCTCTGACCCCCAAAAACTATTACCTTTTTTTTTTTACAAATTCAGGCAAAAAAAAACTTGGATGTTTGATCGGATATACTGATATTAAAAAAAAGTCAACGTAACACAAC